AGTTGTCTCTCCTCACCTGTAACCCTGGGGCTGACTGCTCTTCTGTCCGGGTTCCTGGCTTTTATCCTCTTTCTCCTGCTCTTCCGGCCTGCTACTCTGGGCGAGCCTGAGATGCCTCTCCTCACCTAATCCCTTCGGCTGACTGCTCTTCTCTCTGGCTTCTTGGTTTTAATCCGCTTTCTCCTGCTCTTATGGTGCTACTTATGCTTATTTAATCACAGAAAATTTTGTTCAGCTAAAACATCTTACCATTTACACAGTAAGAATTCTGTGGAAGACATGCTCAGAAATAATTTTAGCAATACTTTCAGAAACCTTACAGTGAACAGAAGAGTGACAGATACTGGTAGCTACAACCTTTGCTTTGTGGGAAGTCCTGAGAGAACATGCCTAGGAGCAGAGCATTCGAGAAGGTGAGCAGGGGGCATCTGAAGTGGAACAAAGATGTGCCCAGACAGAGGTAGGAACCTGTGTTCCAAACCCAGGAAATCATAGTAACAAGACCTAAACTACTGAGACTGTGGACACAAGGTCTCTCCAAATACTAACCTGAATAGAAAACTAAAAAAAAAAAAAAAATACATACATGTATATTCCTTATGGGAGCTCTGGTGGTGTAGTGTCTAAGGCACTTGACTGCTAACCAAAAGCCTGGTGGTTCAAACCCACCAGCATTCCTCAGAAGGAAGGTTGGGCAATCTACTTCCATAGTGACACCACCTGGGAAACCCAAGGGGGTTGCTATGAGTTGGGTCTGAATCAATGGCACATAACAACAACATAAATCACAAAATTTTTTTTACAAAATAAATCACAGATTTTCTCAGAACTTTTTGACCAGCACTCTGACCTCAATTCCTGCTCACTGCAAACACACTTCTGGAAGGCATCACCACGATCCCCCAATTTCAGAGGACAGATCCTAACGCCAGCCCCTTTAAAACTTGGGAATAAGGGAGGGTAAGGCCTCTCCCTCTACTAAACAACACTACCAGAAAAATGAGGAACAGAGAAAAATGCTCAAAAAGTGGTAGAAGATTATATAAGCCCAATAAAGAGGAAAATTTTATCTAAATCATGTTACATAAATGGAACAGCTTATATAAGCATTAAAAATGGATTCCATGCTAATTTTAAAAAGAGTAAATTAAGAAAGAAAACAAAATTGTATGTATAGGGTGACCACACCACTGGAAAATACTTGGGAAAATATTGAAGAAAACCCCTAAAACTTTAATAGCGTTTGGCTAGGTGATCAGATTATAGGTGACTATTCTTTTTTGTATGCCTTTTTATTTTCCATTTTTGCAATTGTGTCATTGTTGCTAGATGTCACTGAGTTAGCCCTGACTCACAGCAACCCTCTGTACAGCAGAATGAAACACTGGCCCATCCTGCATCATCCTCACAGTCTTTGCTATGCTTGAGCCCATCATGGCAGCCACTGTGTCAGTCCATCTTTGTTGAGGGTCTTCTGCTTTTCCACTGACCCTCTGCTTTACTAAGCATGATATCCTTTTCCAGGGACTGGTCCCTTCTGACAACATGACCCAAGTACATGAGACAAAGTCTGGCCATTTTCACATCTAAGGAGCATTCTGGCTGTACTTCTTCCAAGACAGATTTGTGCATTCTCCTGGAAGTCCAGGGTATTTTCAGTATTCCTCACCAATGCCATAATTCAAATGCATCAATTCTTCTTCAGTCTTTTTTATCCACTGTCCAGCTTTCACATGTTTATGAAGCTATTGAAATACTATGTCTTGGGTCAGGCACACTTTAGTCTTCAAAATGACATCTTTGCTATTTAACACTTTAAAGAGGTTTACTGCAGATTTGCCTAGAACAATACATTGTCTGATTTCTTGACCTGCTGCTTTCATGGGTGATGATTACAGACCAAGTAAAATGATATCCCTGACAACTTCAATCTTTTTTTCCATTTATTGTGATGTTGCTTATTGGTCCAGTTGTAAGGACTTGTTTTCTTTATGTTGAGGTATAATCCATACTCAAGGCTGTCATTTGCAATTAGTATGCTTTATTTTTACAACTGAAGGAAAAAAAAAACTTCACTTTCCCCCAAAAATTAAAGACACAAAAGGACAAATTTGTAGGGTTTTAAACTCAGTACTGACATAAAGAGGCAGTTCAAGTGAATAAGGTAACCCAGTTTCAATGCTTGGGTAAGACCAGTAGGGGCAGAAATATCAAGCTGCGGATAAGGATTAGGAGTTGGTGTTGGGATAAAGCATCCCTTCTGGAACCTGAGCTTATGCTGATCCTTCCAGGAAAGTCGCAAGTATACTCTCATGTTCTCAGTTGAGTAAGAAAAGCAAAGCAGAATACTAACCTCTGGGAGACTGTAGATTTTCTGGAACTGGGATATGGAGTAGGAGCGAATGTAGTCACCCATTTCTTCTTTTGTTTCAATGGCTCGCTTCACCAGCCACTGGGGAGGAACGTTGCAAAATGTGAGCTAACCAAGACAAAATTCCACTGCAATGAACTTAGAGATGGCACAACTCATGAACCCAAATAACTATCTGACTGACCAGGTGATGAAAAATTACCAACATACTGTCCTATGAGAAAAGCAACTGGGCGGGCATCTGAGTTGCCAGGTCCAGTGGGCCCTGGTGTTGAGTAGCTTTGCAAGAGCTTTATATACTACTTGCTTCATATCCTCAGGCCTCATATCCTCCTTCTCTTGGTAAAATGGAGGTGAGAATTATCAGTTCCTTCTACCTCACAGAGCTATGGTGGGACCAAATGAAATCACAAGTACTAGACTGCTCTGTAAACACTTGAACCATAACACAGATAGAGCTATTCCCTACAACTACCAGGCCTCAGTGGCAGATCATAATACAAATGTCTCTTTCCTGAGCTGCTTGCACAGACCAGAGAAAGGGGAGAGAACCAGTATAAGTGTGTTTGATAGATGAAAACAAAAAGCCCCAAAATATTCAGATTTGAGAACTGTGTGTACTACATACACAGCATTAGGCATCAAGTTAGCCTGATGTTCACACTGATTCTCTCACTTAAGTCTCAGAACAATATAGTACTGGCCATGTTTTACAGGACCTAAAACTCAAGAGACTATGTAATTTGCTCACTGATACATAGCTAGCAAGTCTCAAGACTGGCAGTCACAACTTTAAGGTTCTTCTATGCCAGAAGACTGACAAATAAGTTTTATTAAACATTTCCTATCTCTACAGGGCTGAGAAACACAAAAGGAACTGCTTCTCATTTCTCCCTATTTAAAACTCACACCTCCTTAAAACTACCTTTAAAATAGCTCACTAAACACACATGTGTATACACATATACCCTGAAGAAGACTTAGGTGCAGTAAGGATAAAAGAGTGCAAAGTATAACAAATGGCCTTTTCATCTCCTGACTGGCTCTCTATTCATTCCCTTTGTCCTTGAGGAACATTTACGGAGCACTTGGTGATGAAGTGGTTAAAGTGCTCAGCTACTAACCAAAAGGCCAGGGGTTTGACCCTGCTGCTCCATGGAAGAAAGATGCAACAGTCTGCTTCCCTGAAGATTACAGCCTTGCAAACCCCGTTTCTAGTCTGCTCTCTAGGGTTGCTATGAGTCAGAATCAACTTGACAGTAATGGGTTTTATGACATCTTAGCACTAGGCTTGGGGTGAGAGTTTTATTTTTTTTGAAAGACACATTTTTAACATAAACAGACATACAAAAACATAAACACACATATATACATATACATATATGTATGCATACCAAAACCACAATCACTGCTGTCAAGTCAAACCCGACTCATAGTGACCCCTCCATGTGTTTCCGAGGTGGTATCACTACGGAAGGAGATTGCCCAACCTTCCTTCTGAGGAGTGGCTGGTGGTTTTGAACCGCCAGCCTCTGGTTAGCAGTCACATGCCTTAGGCACTACACCACCAGAGCATCCATGTATATACACACACACATATATATATATAAACAAACATCCATTGGCCCAGCAGTAAAAAAATATTTCAAATATAGCTAAAGCCCCTAGGCATCCACCACAGATCAGATTCTCTTCCTCCTCCCAAAAGATCACAGACTCTTCCTCCCTCCACTAACCTTTAACTACATTTATCCAGAGGGAGTCACTAACCTAATAACTGCATGTGTCACATCTGTATTTATGCCTGTCTGTATCTATACCTGTCTATATACTTCAAGGAGTCACCAATAATAATGTATTATTTGCCATGTTTCTAAATGTTACATAAACTGTATCACACTGTATTATTCTGCAACTTGTTTTTCTTCATATAACATTATGTTGTTATTTTTAGGTTACTCATGTTGGTATGTATTACTGTAGTTCATTTTCTCTCCTAAATAATATTCTTTTAGATCAAATCCCACAATTATCCCTCCACATGTTAATGGACATCTGGAGAGTTTGCAGTTTTCTGATATTGCAAACACTACTGCTAGCAACATTCTTGTACATACCTCCTAATGTACAGGTGGCAGAGATTCTCCATGGTAAACACAGAGCAAAGGAAATGCTGGCTGGGAGGGTCTGCACATTTTCAACAACACTAGGCATTTTCAAATTCTCTCCAAAGAGGTTATATTGAGGTATCCTTCCACCAGCACTGTATGTGAGCTATTACTCCCCTTCTCTCCAATACTTGGTAGTGTCAGATTTCATTTGTCATCCTGATGGATATAAAATGGTATCTCATTGTGGTTTTAATTTGCATTTTCCTCATTACTAATGAGATCGAGCATCTTTTTTCTTGTTTATTGCCATTGGGGTTTCCCTTTTTTAGAAACTGAATTTCTGTTGGATAAAAGGACTACCCCTTTTTCCACTGGGTTATTTGTATTTTTCTTATTAACTTGGAGGCAGTCTTTATATATTCAGAATACTCTTCCTCTGTTAGTTATATTCAGTTCTTCTAGTCAGTGATTTGTCCTCTGACTTCTTTTTTAAAACTCTATACTTCAATGTATTTAATTTTACTATGATAACAGTCTCAATCATTCTCTCTCCTTTATGGTTTATGCTTCATTTTCTATTATTTACTAAATCTCTTCCTCCTTCAAGCAGAACAATTATTTTTCACTTGCAATTTTGCACTCTACCATATGTTGTTTAATTTTTAACCCTGGCCACCCAGAAAAGTGATTTCCAACAGTGTATTTACCATATAAAGATGTTTACTACAGTAGAACAATTTGCCAGCTTAGTATATTATTTTAACCTATCACCTACAGTGATTACCCTTGGAAAATTTCTGTCACAATGAAAGACCTAATTATTATAGAAATAAAAACAAAGTTTGGATATCATCGTATGGCATTTAAATTTGAACTCTTTCATTAACCAGCTGTGTGACCTTAACAATTAAGCCTCAGTTTCCTAATCTATGACCCAACTCGTAGGATTATTATGAGAATTAAGCAAAGTAATATTCAATACATTCAGTATAATTTTTGGCATATAGTAATAAGCATTTGGGAGCTCTGGTAGCATAGTGGCTAAGGCACTTGACTGCTAACCAGAAGGCTGGCGGTTCAAACCCACCAGCCACTCCTCGGAAGGAAGATGGAGCAATCTATACTTCCCTAGTGATACTGCCTCGGAAACCCAAGGAGGGGTCGCTATGAGTCGGGTCTGACTCAACGGCACATAACAACAACAACAACAACAACATGCATTTAATGAACATATGCTATTATTACAAGAATATGGTACTCAAGGACATTAGTAGGTACCCAACAATGGTACTATATTCATAATAAACCTTCAATGGGGATTCAACATGTTTACTTAGTCTCCTAATTTCTTTCCACATCTACCAAATAAATTAATATTAAGTTGCTACTGACTCAGGGAATTCCATTTCAGGCTGCAGAGCACTCTCCTGTGGTATAATGGAAAAGAAGTAACTGTTCCTTTTCCCATGGGTGTGACAGAACAAAGGACAAATGGCCCAACACCTGCCCTTTTGGTCATGGGTCCCTTTCTGTGCATTTAATGCCTTTGTATCTTTGAGCTATAAGCTCCCCAGTGATTTGGTTCCATAATCATGCTGGGAACCTCTGGTCTCAGCCACAGGGACTTAGAAGTGAGCCTTTAGCTAGCTTACCAGTGAGCGTTGAAAGGAAAAGATCATGGCATTGCCTGGGAGGCCTAAGCTTAGCTATCCCCATTGGGACACAGAATAAGTCTGCCTGGGTTTTAAATAGAAAACAGTCAGAAAAACTGCATCATCCAAAGAAAGAGAAGACTCATCTGGTGAGGTCCAAAGCTTTGCTGCTCCCATTGCTATGGTCAAATAGGTAGTGAACGACTCTTTGGAGGAAATGTTTTAACAGAGGTGGATGTCATCTGTCAGGGTTGCCACTCCCTCTCCAGAGAGCAATGCTGTTGTTGTTGATATGTGCAGTCGAGTCGGACCCGACTCATAGCAACCCCTCCTTGGGTTTCCGAGGCAGTATCACTATGGAAGTAGATTGCCCAACCTTCCTTCTGAGGAGTGGCTGGTGGGTTTGAACCGCCAGCCTTCTGGTTAGCAGTCAAGTGCCTTAGGTACTACGCTACCAGAGCTCCCCAGAGAGCATAACCACACTCGACATGAATTATCTACCCAGGAAAGGAGACAATAGAAAAATGCATGCTGCTCCTTCAGGATAGAAGAAAGGCTTGCTCATGGGGGGGCGGGCAACTGGATCCAGAGAAAAGGATATTTAGGAAGTAGCTGCCCATGGTAAAGGTAGCTACAAATAACTATATGAGGAATATTCTTTTGTTATTAATATCTTCATTTATATCTACCACTCCATCACAATCCAACTCCAAACAATGACCTCAAGCACTGACTAATGTCCAAAAGAGAAACAGAAATTAGGGAGCATTTAGAACTACTCAAGTCCCTCACGCACACTCCCACCCTAGCACCATGGCCAAGGGCAACTGAGGAGGCTGACACACACTACTCAACTCAATTTCAACTCAACTTAGCTTGACTTTTCTTTGAATCTAGAGAACCAGTTTCTGGCCTTTCATTCTTGTTTCCCTTTCAGAAAATCCTGTCATATCCGTTATTCCTCCATCAAATTAATCCCAGACCTGAGTAACTTCTTGGTTGGATCCTTAAGAGTATGATCAGATAAGGAAGGTAAAACCTATTATGTCATAAGAATTCACCTAGACAACTGATCCCTCTGTAATGAGCAAGTTTCAGTTATTCCAGTGAGAAGGGCTGAGGTGGGAACCTTTTAGACAGCCAACTGTGCCACAGGTTACCTAACCACTCAAGAAAAATACCTACCTTCACTAGATTCACATGCCTGGCATGGGAGAAAAAGATGTGACCTAGAACTGCCAGTGGTTGGAAGCTAGATCCATTTTTTTCTAAGGTGGCATTCAGAAAATGTCAATATAAGGTTTGCTAAGTAGTGTGAACATGGGTGGTGATCTTCCAGAGTCATATAAGACAACTAGATCAGTGGTTCCCAACTGCTGTTCTATGGTTGTTTTCACTGGTTGGCAGCAAAATAGGGGGGGGGGAAATGGGGTATGTGGCAAGTTTTTCATAACAATGTATGTATTCAAATTGAAGGTCTGATGCAGTGAATTACTTAATATGCCACTTCTAGCCGTGGTCTTGTGACTCCTACAAAATAATTGGGTAGAACTATGCAAATAAGGTGTTTGTGGCCTACCAAGAAGATTAGACAGCCTGCTAACGATGCAAACAAGGTGCATTGAACCCTTGCAGGGGAGGGATAATGCAAATAAAGTACATGGAACCCTAGTAAGAGGATTGTTTAGTTTTGTCATCCTGATAGGTTTTAAATGAGCCAAGCCCATAGACTGGGAGGGTGGACCTCGCTATCATCAAAAAGAGCCAGGAGCAGAGTGTGTCCTTTCAACTGAGTCCCTGTGCTGAGAACTTCCTAGACCCAGGAGTCAGAGAGCTGTAACACCCAAGATGGCAAGAAGTGGCAGCAGAGAAAAGATGGCAGCAGAACCAGGAGACTGGTGTGAGTCTGCACAGTGGGTTTCCTGGCCCATGGAGCAAGAGAGTTGAGAACTTTTGGGCAGGAAGCTTGGATGCAGAGTGGGATGCACCCAGGTCCTTGTTGGCAGAGCTACGCTTGTTGCCCCATGGAGCTAGAGAAATGAGCACCTGAAGTTTACTGGGAAGGGGGCCTGCTTCCAGGCACTTAGTAACTGAGCTAAAGAGCTTTGTAACACTTGCCTAAGCAGTGCAGAGGCCAAGACCAAGGGAAACCTGTCCTGAGAGGCCAAGAGAAGGCCTGTCTGCAGGGGGTGTGCATAGCAGAGAGAAGGCCCTGCTTGCTTGCACAGCCAAGAGGAGATAAGAGAGCTGTCTTGTACTGAAGAAGGGAAGGAGGTGCTCTCCATTTCAGCAGAGCCTTTTAGATCTAAAGGAGCTCTGGTAGTACAGTGATTATACCATTCAACTGCTAACTCATAGAAGAAAGATGAAACAGTCTTCTTCTGTAAAGGTTTACAGCCTTAGAAACTCTATAGGGCAGTTCTAATCTGTCCAATCTGTCCTATTGGGTCACTGTGAGTCAGAATTGACTTGATGGCTGTGGGTTTTAGTTTGGTTCCAGACCTTGCCTACATACTTCCTGATTATGATCCCAAGTTGTACCTGTTATTTCCCTAAAAAAACCCTCATAATCATGTGTATTATCTATGAGCTGTGTGTGGCCACTGCAACCAATGAATGCACCCAGCAGAGAAGTAAAGAGTGTCATGGGAGGGACAGTTGTTGTCAGAATTGGTAAAAGGTTGGAGAGTGGAGATACATCTGACTTCCATTTCATAGAAATTAGCTTTGGGCTGATGCTGACCTTGATTCTCACTCTTCCTCCTGAAGTTAGAGGAAGTCTGATGTCCATATGCCATTTTTACAGAAGGACTACTTTATTCTAACATTGGGAGTTTAATGAGATTTGCTCTTAGGAAAAGATGATAAAAGCAAGACAGCAGTTATTAAAAAAAATAACCACCACCAACAAAACAGGAGTAGCAACCCTACGTGAACCTCCCATTTTTTGCTTTAAAATTTTATAGGTCCATAAAATTAAGAAATTTGGTATCCACTAGTCTAGGCTCTCACCCAGATACATGTCCAGACATGAACCTCTCCAGCACTGTATTTACAATGTGGAACCTTCAGACACTCAACATGCTCAAAGAGACTACAGAACATCACTCTTCCCATGCATTCCTTTCTCATATCTGAACTAAAGTTTTTAGCCCCCAAAATTCTTGTGTAGGACTGAGTAAGGTCTAATCCCTGGAGACCTAGGATTTAGGGAAAAGGATAACAATTTCACAGTACACTGGTGTTAGAGGGTTTAGTAATAACACACTTCTCATTTTCACAAAAAAAGTATCAGGTAGCATCATCCTCTGATCAGAGACACAAAAAATCTAACAAACATACAAACCAAATCTGAGTCTTTGCCTCAAATTTACAAATTTCATGACACTTGAGGTTCCTAAGACCAATCTGATGGTTTAGGCTTATGTCTAGCGCAGATGAAGACTCCCAATAACAACAATAAAAAAACAGAAATAGCTACACTACTTAACTAAAATATGTACAGTCCTTGCATAAAGCACGTAAGTGTTTTACACGTTAATGTATTTATTTCCATTCCTTCAGGTAGATACTATTATTGCCTTCATTTAATAGGTGAGAAGTTAAGTCATTTGCCCAAGGTCACACAGACTGAAAGTGGTAGAGCTGAGATTTGAACCCAGGAAATCTCCAACATCCATACTCTTAATTTCTACATTATATAATCTGAAGACACGATTAGGAGATTTTTCTAGCAAGAGCTGCTCATCTTCCTTCCCAGCGACCGCATGGATGGTAGGTGGGAAAAGCACAAGGCTTAGAGACTGGAGTTTAGACTGAAATTTCATGTCAGCTTCTCCACTCACTAGATCTCTGTCTTAAGCAAATTATTGCCACTTTCTCTGAGTCTCATTCTTTGGAATCAATTGATTCAAAGAACTTTTTTAGGATCAGATAAAGCAATACAATACTGTCCCCACAGCATGCTACAAAGTTGAGTTTCTTTGCTTCTCTTCTTTTTAAGGTGCCTGGAGGAAAAGCTCAGATAAGAAGTACTATACAGAATACAGGGAGCTGTAAAGCATGAACCACTTTATCACAGAGCCTCAGGAAATAGCTGGGAGGTAGGGGTCGGTGGGTGGGAATAAGTCTCCCATTAGATATTTAGTCATCAAGTAAGTATTGAGTATCTACAAAATACCAGATGTTCTGGTAGGTGCTGGAAATATAACAGACAGCAAGACAGCTACAGTGCCTGACCTCATGAAGCTTACAGTCTAATGGGAGAAAATAAATAATCACACAAATGATTATTTATAAATGGTTACAAACTGCAGTAAGGAAGATTTCTGTGAAGGAAGGGAATGTACCCCTATGAGTGGATACAACAAAAGAACCTATTCTAGATTAGGAGGTGCAGGAAGGCTTCCTTGAGAAAGTTTAGTAGAGGTGAAATCTAAAGGATGAGTATCAATTAAGCAAGTAAGGAGGGGGAGAGAAAAACATTCCAGCCCAAGGAACCAGCACATGCAAAAGCCCTGTGACAGGAGGAAACATAGCAAGTATGAGCAAATCTAAGGAAAGGTCAGAGGTAGAACAGAGAGAACAAAGAAAGGCAGAAATAAAATGAAGTGGACAAATCAGAAGGAATCAGATAATTCAGAGCTATGGCGTTCGTTCTTTATCAAAAAAAGCAATGAAAAACCACTGATGGAAACATTCAAAGACAGCAATAGGTGAGAGTATAAAACCAGAGTACATGGAATACTGTGATCTTTTGAGTATAACATCAAGAAGCACCATTATGTCCTGCTGCCACCAAATCTATACACACCTATCAGATACTGGATCCAGCTGAGATGGCCCAAAAACCAGATCCATTACAGGATTTCTGATGTTTGAAGGACAAGATACCAGACAAAGCCTCTTACCTGAACAACAGGAAATATGTGAATAAAGTCCATGCCTTGGATCTGGTGGGGCTCCAGCTGGTGTGGACATTTCATCCTTGGCAGGACTGAGACAATTTTTTCTGAGAGAGCTCTGTTCAGAAACAACAAGCAAGAATGAAAACATAGCAAATGGCCCTTAAAACAGCTCTGAAGTCTGGGCATCATCCCAGAAGAATCTGGGACTTCTCAATGCCAGCCCAGTGCCAGACCATGATGATCTTGTTTCTCCTAGCTAACAACAAAATGAGAAAAGTAAGTACAATTTAGATGTGTATATGAGTGTGTATGTGTAAGGCCACAAAACTGACTATACCCTTTATTCTAAAATTGTGTTCTTCCTTCTTTTTTATATTAAAAGATTTTGTTTGTTTATGAAATACCAGTGATGTTAGAGGTACTAATTATTTTCTAACATCCTTACATGGCCAAATAAATAGTCATCAATATCCCAAATTCTTTTACATTTCATTTCACCGATTTCCTTTTTCTACAACTCCGGGAACCACTAGGTTAGATACTGAAAGATATGACTCTAAATATTATTCATGTAACAGTCAATTATCATATTCTGTGATAGATAAGTGCTCAAAATATGAAGACAATTAAGCTACAGTCCTTTAATTCCCGGAGAGCACAGAATAGCAGAAGAGATAGTTAAATAAACAATTATAACACATTTATAACCACTAAGACGAAGCTCACACAGGTTGCGATGAGTGCACCCTCAAGGGACACACAATCTTCCCCTATAAGATGCAGGCCCTCAGGCCCAAAAGATATTTGGAGTTTTCTACTCTGGGTACAAAAGTATTTTTAAAACAATTTGTAGCTTTTAGAATTTTTTTTTTTTTGATGGCCTAAAATCAATCCTAGATTTTGGGGAATCATGAATCCTCACCCTTATTTCCACAGAAGGAGAAAGTGCTTCTCAAGAGGGACACTCTGACTTCTCTCCAGCACCTCACCTCAATCCTCCTATGAAATGACTGGGTTTGGGAGGAGGAAGAACTGGGCTCCCTGAGGCCCCAGAGCATACTCCTAGATTCAAGAGGAAGGCATCCTCCTTCTTGAGGATGGTTTTCAGCCCAGTCTGGGACTGGGTGGGATAGTCTTATGGTGAAAGTGGTGGAGGAATGTATGTGTAAATCTGTTTCACTGCAGATTTAAGCTTCTTTCCCTAATTAGCTGATATTTGGTCTCCACCTAGAGGACTCTTGTTTCCTATATCTTCATTGGATCAGATTCAAGTGGAGAGAAGAGACGTATTATCCAGTCGGTCTACTAAACCCCAAAGCCATGGTACAGTCTGGAAACCTTGAGAAACAACCACCAAGAATGGCCTTGAGAGGCCATATGGAGAAATGAAGGCTCTGGGTCAGCTACATGGACAACTTACATTATTCCCTAGCCCAGACCTTTATTTATTTTTTTTAATTCTATTTTTCATAAGACTTATTAATTTTTTATGATGCTTAATCTGTATAATCACAACCCTGAAGTAAACAGGCAACCCCTACTCTTACAGATAGAAAACAAGAAACTTCAAAGAATTCAAATGGACATACTATGAGCATTCTGTAGAAACTTAAATAAGAATTTAGTAATTTTTTTATTCCAAAACAAGAAACTCATTTTGGTCAATAACGTGACATCCCCTAAGGCAGCTACATAAACAAAGCAGACCAGACCCAGCAGCCATCTAAAGGCTAAGGACCTTCTGTTAGGGAATTATGAAATGTGGGTAAGTGGGGAGAGCCATGGGTACCACTGCTGTCTAAAGTATAGGAAGAGAAGTAAAAAGAAGAAAACGAAAGAGACAAAGAAGTATTAAATATGGTCAAGGGTTAAAGGCATTAAAAAACCTCAGGATTTCTTAAAAGATGCCTGCTGAGCTAGGTCTAGTGCGCAGAGAGGATGTAACTGCTAGACACATTGGACCACTATGCTGATGAGGCTACTAGCTCAGGACAGCAACTTCCCAATGAGACCCAAGAAGGCATGCTAGAAGATACAACCCTGGGGGTTCAGAGCCTAGCAAGAGGAAGCAGAAGGCCTCTGCTGCTCTGGGGAGGATACTTATAGGGCAAGTAGTGACATAGTAAATTACCCCAGACTTTTTTTTTTTTTTTTTTTGGTAAACCTCAGCTAGTCACAGCAGCTAGCTGTGGCCTTGTTTACAAGTGCAGGACAATTTTCTAACAGATAAAGGCCCTGGTGATCAAGGGGCCAGGCAGATCTTACTAGGTGGCGATGTTGGTTCTGATGGGTGGACAACCACAGATGACCTTGAACTACCATACACTTGGCAAACTCATTTGGGAATACTTCTCTCTGATAAGATTTATTTTTTATTTTGAATTCCATAAGACTACTATGCCTTATTTCTTAACCTCACCGACTTGCGACGGGAAGAAACAGGTATTTGTTGTTCCTGCTCGACAAGACCCAATGCTTAGCAACTTATTACCAACTCTGGTTTTGTGTCTTTGCTTAGCACAAGTTTTAAATATTTATACCTGTTGGGCCATGATCAACAGACACCTTGTCTCCTGGTTACACCGTTGCTGAGCAGGAAGAAAGCTCCCTCTAGTGGCCTCAGATTTGAAGGAAGGTTGGGCAATCCTACTTCCGTAGTGATACTGCCCCAGAAAGCCAAGGAGGGGTCGCTATGAGTCGGGGGCCAACTCGACGGCATATAACAACAACAACAACAACCCCTAACAGTAGTACAGCCCAATGTCTTCAGATTAGGTTCCTCTCCCTGGCCACTCCTCAGAGACAATTTACTTGCCCAGGCCATAGCGCAAAGGATATTCATGTCATCTCAGGGTTTACAATCTTCTTATACCTGCCTCTCAGAAATAACTGTGAAGTCTGTACAGTCTCAGGAGCATATGGAAGCAGCTGAAGGCACTAACACTGCCAGAGGGAGGCTGGGGCAGGGGAAGAAAGTCAGGAAGATTTCTTACAGAAACCCACCAGTCTCCATTCAGTGGATGGAAGGTTGATCTTCTTACTTTCTAAAAATCAGAGAAAGTAACTAACAAGTGTAGACATCACCAGGCAGATGTCCTAGCCTAAGATTACATTATAGGTCATTAGTTTAACTCCTTTATTTTCTAACAGTATTGTGTTTCCTTCTCTATTGCAAATGGCATGAAAGAGTGAATTGAACATGAGTCTAAGTCCAGTTCTACCATGTACTCTGGGACTGTGGCAACTCATCCCATCTCTCTGGTTCAATACCCCATCATAAGATGAAAGTTAATCTCCATCTTACCTATTCAAAAGTTGTTGTGAAGGTTAAAAAATAAAATGTATTGCAAGTACTCTGAACATAGGTATAGAGCAAATGTGTAATGTAGATGAACTCAGTTATGAGCCTAAAATGTCATTTATGGACCTCTGAGCATAGGAACCTCTGGTAATGGGGCTTTAGGGAGGGAGGACAGAAACTTATGGAACTCTCAGGAAAGAAGAATCAGTACGGAAAACAAGTCCCAGCTGGGTGTGTATAAAAGACAGTCTACCAGGCTCTCTACAGACAAACGTGCTCCTCAGGCAGAGCACTTCTCCTTAATTCTGCCCCCATTTTTTTCCCTTCGCTTCACCTTTCTACCATCTTACAAGTACTTATCTCACTGCTTAATATGCATTTTTATAAACCATCTTTAATTCTTTTGAAAGTGTTTTTTTCTTGGGGAACCACAATGAGTCAGAAAAATAAAATAAGTCACAGAATCATACATTTACAGATACAGAAACTGAGGCCCACAAAAGGAGTGGCTTGCCCAAGGTCACATCACAGAGCTAGGTATTCCAAATAGCCTAATGACATCACCAAGTCCCTGGTAAGCAGTGGGAGACTGAGCAGGGAACCTTCAGGTAAAATCTTCCCCAAGGGATTTGTGCTGCCACCTTTTGATGGCACAGAGGTAATGGGAAGGAAGAGATTCTTTTTTCCTCCCCTACACAACTTCTACCTAAATTAGTTGTCTTTGGAAAGAAACAAACTAAACAGTCACAAGAAACTTTGATCAAGTAAAGTATAAGGAATAGCCTGAACATGCCTTTATATGCTAGCTGTATGACCTTGGCCACTGTGGTAGTTAAGGTTGTTGTTAAATTGGCTGGGCCTGGTTGAGTGGCTGGGCAGGTAGATATAGTTACTCCCCATGGTGAGACTGGTAATTAACTCCATGGTAGGATCTATTGGAGCAGCTGAGTAGCTGCCTTAGGGATGTGGGGTGCTTCTAGCATATAAGAAGCAATTTTGAGGAAGGTCTCCAGCTTTTTGGCATACTTGAACCCTGCATGTAGCTGAGTCTTCATTCAGTAGCCTGCCATGCTCTGACAATCTTGGGACTTTTTCTCAACTTGAATTAGTGGCCTGCCATGTTGTTTGGTGATATTGGGACTGTGCCTTTTCACTTGTCCACCTTGAGTTTGTCAGCCTCAATAGCCAGCTGCTGCCTGAGTGAAGAAAAGTCTCTAGCTTCAGTTGGCTAGGAGCAGGAGGCAGAGCTGAAGCCCAAGGTCAAGAGGCTTTCACTGAGCCGCTAGAGCCTGGCACTTTGAACTCAGACTTCTAGGCTTCAAAAATTTTAAGAATAAACTCCTGCTTGTTAAAGTCATCCCATTTGTGGTATTTTCTATTACAGTAGCACAGAAGTAAACTAAACAGCCACCTTCAGGCTCAGTTTCCTCATCAGTAAAACAAGGATGATACCTATTATGATGAAAATTAAAATAAAATTTGTAAAGCATCTAGCACAACTTCTGGCACATAGTAAACACTCAAAAGTTACCTCCCTTCTCCCCATTTAGGCCCTCTGTAGCAAATCCCAATAACTTACATTTTTTGACCTATTGTAGAGTTTTCCTGAAAGAGCAAATCAACATCTACATCAAAGTTGCAAGTGGTGATGCACCAAGTCATTCCTCCTACTACCTGCAAGACACAAAGAAAGTACTTTTTTCCCTTTCTCCTTTAGGGAGAGGAAAAGAAATGGAAGGTAAATAAATTATAAGTAACTCCTTCAGACTCAGTAAACATACACAATTATGTATCTTTAAAGATAGTAAGTGGGTGTGTGCTCCTTATCCCATCAGCTATAATTCACTTAACCTAAAGCTGTCTAATAAGATTTTCTGCAATGATGGAAATGTTCCCTACATTAGCTGTTAGCCACATGGTGACTACAAGCCCTTGAAATGTGGTTCGTGTGACTGCAAAGCTGACTTTCAAGTTAATATAATTTTAACTATTTCAAACAGCTACTGTATTATAATATATAGATAAAAACAATTACATTCTAAAAATCTGTCTAAAAATAAGCATTGGTTTATTCAGTATTTCTCTGTGCCTAGTACAAATGCTAAGATAAGTGAGGAAAGGGAAAGGAGGAAAAGAATCAAAGAAGTGTCATTAATGGTGTGCATACAATGGACCAAGTATTTGATATCTGAACCTCACAGGAAGATTAAAAGGTAGGCATTTTATTCCCTTTTTACGGATGAAGAGACAAGCTCAAGAGGCTAAGCATCTTGTCCAAGGTTACACAGCTAATAAGAAGAGAGGAATTATTCCAACTCAGGTCTGGCTGACCCAAAGTCTAACTTTATAATGATAATTCATACATATACACACACATATATACTCACACATACACTTATAGATACATTTTTTTTTTTTCTTTTCCTGCCTTCCCTCCTCACATATACACATGAAGGAGCCCTAGCAGCACAGTGGTTAACCTGCTCAGCTGCTAATTCAAAGGTTGAGGGTTTGAACCCACTGGCTGCTCTGCAGAAGAAAGATGTGGCAGTCTGCTTCTGTAAAGATTATAGCCTTGAAAACCCTATGAGGGCGGTTCTACTCTATCCTATGGGGTGGCTGGCTGTGAGTTGAAATCATACATATCCACTAAACACATGATTCTCCAAAGTCCCTAAGTGTTGTTATTAAATGGACATGTCATATCTAGATCCTCTTTATAGTGAAGCAGAGAGAACATTAATTCTCAGTTCAGCAAATTTTAACCCAGTTTCAGGCAAGTGCCAGATTCCACAGGAATTATGTATTCTATTGACCAGACATGAAGCAATGGCTGACATTCTGAAGCTCATTACTTAATTTCTGTATAGCTTATTTTTCCATCTACTTAAGGGAGATGAAAGAATCCCTGCTCTATTCATCTCACAGGATTTCTCTAAGATGTAAATGAGGCTAAAGCTAAAAATCCATTCTGAAATAAAATCCTTTTCAGACACATCTTATGTTAGAAAAATCAACAGTGAATCTTATGACTGGCTGTGATGTAAAACTCATGTGAGATGCTTAATAAAATACCAATTCTAGGACTCCAGCCCAGATCCAAGTAACCAGAATTTAAATGGAAGAGACCTGGACATCTGTATTCTCCAACAACCCAGGGTGACTTATTCACAGCCACAACTATGACCCACTGACAGTAAACTCAGGACATTCCTCCACCAGGAAGCTTCTCTGCCCACCCCGACTAACTTGGATGTTTTCTCTCTATCCAGTTTTATTACACTTATTAACATTGTGCTATTTATTCTGTGCTTAGAGGTTCCTCTTCTCTACAAACGTAGTGCTCTTTGAGGGCAGGGTCTTTGCTTTATCCTTCAGCACCTATTATAACACCTTGTCCATAACCATTCCAGGTTCTACTGAATTAAAAGACTTCATCCTATTGTGACTTCCCTTTCAAACTAAGAGCATTTACTATCCACAGGATATCTGGCAACTGTCTGTATGTATGCTGACTTAGGATAAAACAAAAACAATCCCATTGCCCTCAACTTGATTCTAATTCATAGCCCTGATCAAACTTAGATTTTACATAAATTTTCTTTTTCACCTAAATTTTCAGTTCCTTGAAAGGAAGAACTATGTCTTTTGTTCTTTTACATTGCCTAAAGATTCATGCACAGAGAAGGAACTGGATTCATATCTACTGATGTATTATTATATTATTTTAATTAAAAATTTGAACATTTCTCTAATGATCTACATTAGGAAGAAATGGGATGATAGAAATAGAGAAAGTAAAAAGCAATCTCTCCTTTACTTCCCCATCATGGCTAATTACGTACTCCTAACAAAAATTAGTGTAATGGTTAGAAGGGTTTCTTTTTACCTTGTCAAAAGGTGACAAGCCTTTAATTCTTGCCCTGAAATATCCAGCTGCAACCAAAAGTTCCAGAATTTCAGTCAACTTAACACTTTGTTCTTCATCTTCTCTTGTTTCCACCTAAAACAAAATGTAAGAGTTTAGATGGTAAAAGCTACCTTATATAAGGGAACACAAGGCATATCCTCTGATGCCACAATCTCATTGTTAAGGAGTAGGTGATATGGCTGTGTCATTGCACCAGATTCCCCATGTGCATACAGTGTTGCCTAAGTCACAAATAACAGGGTCCCAGTGATCAGGGAGATGTTAAGCATCACAGGTGGGGGAAGAAGACACACAGGGAGTACACGGGTATTCATCAGGAGCTGGTGGAATTCAGGGAGAAGGAAGATTAGCACATACTACTACATCTCTGTTCTCCAATAAATATTTTACTTGACAGGCTTCTCAACATTATAAGCTCCCTGCAGACAAGAATAAGGTTTTCTTTAAAACTCTGTACTCATCCTGGTTCTAGATGTTACTAACATGAAGGACAAGAACAAAGAAGAGAATTCACTACCTCTCTGTATTATTTCCCTTTCTGATCTTAAAGCAAACATAATGAAGACTTTCAATCTGATATATTAAAGGGTAGTCACCGCCACATAATACAATTACCTTAAATAATGAATTCACTTAATGTATTTTAAGAAAATTTATTTTATATCCTCCCTTCATCATATGTTTATGTACAATTCAAATCTGTTGAAACATCACAGTACTTCTGATACCTTTTTTCTTTTCTACTATTGCAGGAACATCAGAAACTAAGGTATCCTGGTTCATATCCTATCTACTATCTCACTCAATGGTGCCTGTTAAATCTTCCTTTACTATTGTGAAGTAAAGGGTTAGCTCAGCAGGTTTGGGGTTGTCCAAACTCTGCACATTCTAAGGTCTTCAAGACTGGCCCTTGGCAGGCTCCTGGTAGATGACCTTTGAGCCCTTGGAATACTCTCCTCGGTAAAAATGTCTTTGTATACCTGAGACCTTGTGCCCTGCCATATAGTCTATGCTAACAACGTGATTTATGGTAAATGACTACTTTGTATGCCTAGGAACTTTGGACCACACCATCAGTTTGGTCCCTGGTAGGGGGCTGAGCAGCTAAGCATGCTTATGACTGACCCCCAATAAAAACCTTGGACACCAAGGCTTGAATGAGTTTCCCTTGTCAACAACTCTTGGCACATGTTGTCAAACATCACTGCTGGGAGATTTAAGTGCTGTCTATTAGACTCCTCCACTGGTACAGAATAATAATAAGCTTTTGCCTGGTCTCTCTTAGACTCTGCCCTGTGTGGTTTGCTGATTTTACTGTTATACTGTGAGTATAAGTCTTTCCAGTGAATCACTGAATGTGAGGGGGTCTTGGGCATCCTCCCTTACCTTTAATTCATTTCATACCAGGAGTGGTACAACTGCCTCTCAATCCTTCTTCACTGTTAATATGTCTTGTTCACTGCTTCCTAAATCACAACCTTCATTTTATCACTTCTTAGCTCATCCTGTGCAATCATCTTCAAAGGATCATATACTGTCTTAAGAGAAATTCCAAATTTCTTGGTTTGACATTCAGTTCTTTGGCCCCAATCTATCTTTTTGGCTTTATCCTTTACTTCCTCTCAAAACAATCCAGAAGCGGTTATAGTCAACCTAGACAAGTACTCCCCATTCCCATGTCTTCACATTCACACCAGTCTCTTGTTCCTGCTCTTCTTTAACCATCCAGAAACCACTTTCAAATCTTAGCTCCTATGCAATGTCGTTCCTGACAAATCAGCCCGAAACAGTCATTCCTCTGCATTTTTTTTTTTAAATTTACACTCCATGCCATTCACTCAATTAAATATCAGCATCTTTTGAATGACATGCCTGATGTGATGTACATGCCTGTCTTTCCAATTAACTATTGGCTGGTTCAGGAGAGGACTTCTATAGTATTACCCATGATCACTCCTCTGTACCTAAGCAGCTTTAGGCTCAAGGGATGTACTCAATTAATTACATAAAGTACCTAAGCCAGCCATCTAATAACTGTTTTCACAATCATGGCACTGATAATGGAAAATGAAGTTTATTTTGAGATACAAACTGTCAGGAGAGGGAGTATAAACATATTAGCATACACTCAAACACAGAACTATTAAAGTGTTTGATAATCCCTTGAAATAGAGAGAGGAGGGATTACAGCCTTGATCCATTGCTCCTTTTATTTTTTTCTCTCTCAAATGACCCTGGTCTAGCCCATCAAAGCTCTGAAAGTTAGCAACCACTTTCTGTCAACCTAGCAGACATTGATAAAAAAAAAGCTGTATTAATTATTCCCATGTCTTTTCTGCAAAAGATCTGATGTGACTGAGTTAAGTGGAGAGAATCAAAAAAAGATAACGAGCAGTTATGGTTCACAAACAGAAAGTAGAAGAGGAAAAGAGTGTAATTGTTTTCTTAAAACTTTTGAAATGGAAAACAGGAACTCGTCATTTGTTCCATCATTCCATTATTGTTTGTCATGAAAATATTTCTAAGACATACTGACAGATAATACCTCATGGCAGCATCATACCTGTCCTCCATTAATATCTAATTAGCACCCACTGGGGAGCTCTGGTAGCATAGTGCCTAAGGCACTTGACTGCTAACCAGAAGGCTGGAGGTTCAAACCCCCAGCCACTCCTTGGAAGGAAG